TAATTATGGCGTATTGTTAATTAAAATCTTTCTCTTTTATCAGGTTGTGAAGAGATTGAAGCAAATTGTGTAAGGAGTACTAAAAAAATATGTTGAAAATGCCACCTGTCAATTTTGAGGATGAAATAGTGTTAAATGGAGAAGAATATATAACGCTGATGTCCCCAGATTTAATTGCAGACAGAATAGACGTATTATTATCTCCAAAAACAAAACAATTTTATTTCTGTAAATCTTCTAAACGTGGCACATAAAAATATTTGTCATTCTATAGAGAAAATAGGAAACGAATTTCTTTTAGTAGTTGGAAGTGTAGAATTAGCAGTTAACGGTGTTGAAGTTTTCTTTCTAGTTATAGACCCTAATACGGAATCATCTTTTCAATTTAATTCTGCGATAATTGGAACTAAAACTGCTATAACATTAGGATTAGTTTCAAGCCTAATTGTGGAATATTATCTTCAACATCCCGTTTAGTTATTAGGTATATACAAAAAAATTAAACTCAAAATGAGTGCATTTTTAGAAGTCTTGCGTCCCAATGTAGAAGATGTCCCTATCTCGGAAATTAGTCGGAAAAATCCACCATTAATTATCAAAAGATTATTAAAGGATTTCGAAAAATCTTGGAAAATCCCAAGAACACTAGCTAATTTAGCATATATTGCTAGATTGTCTAAAAACTGCTCAAAATATTCAAACAATGATCATTTATGATGAATCCGACAATGAAATTCTCGAATCATTGACAGTAAAAGTATTTTCTGGACAATTACAATTATGTAGTGTGTGTTATTCTAAGCAGTAATACATTCACTCTTCAAATAGGTTTAGTTATGGGTTTTCACGTTATGGGTTATGGTTTCTTTCTTCCTGGATATATTATCTAATAAACAACATGAATTGTTGTTTTAGGCCTTTACAATTTCTACCAGATGGTCAATGCTTACACATCTCTTTTCCATTGTCTCTCCCATTCAAGACAGCTATCCACAAAGCTAGGGAAAATAAACTAAACAAAATAGGAATAACTGATTTTCATGAAATGCCTATAAATAGGAGATTTACAAGTTGTTTGTGTTAATGTTTTGATTTACCACCATTGTTTAAAGAAGCAGAAGAATCAAAATATCAAATTATAAATCTACCCTATCCTTGGTATTTAAAAGATGACTTCCAATATGTAGACCCTGATTTCATAGAGCGTTACAATGAAGATGATTGGCGACAATCTATTATAGAAAACTTGTTCGAAACTCACTTCAGGAAAGCGTTAGTCGTTGGAGGGCATTTTCGAACTATTACCTATTACGAAAAGGAACTCAGAATGTCAGATACGCATGTACGACCAAACGAGTGTGAATAGTGTCAGTCCTAATGTCAGTATGTATTGAAGAAATTCAAAATACAAACACTGTTTTCATTTAAATTCAATTTTAACATTTATTTCTTCTGTAAAAAAATAGGAGGTCTAGATCCATTTCAATAAACACAATTTGGAATAATTCACCTACGGCAAAGACCTCACGTGATGCTCCAGGACGGAGTTGCTTTTGACGTCTCTGTCTAAATGATGATCGATGCTGAATTGTGTTTTTCCAAAATCAGGCTCAGAAAACAATCCGGATTTCATTTTCGCTCAACAAGATTTATGGTGGCGAGAGATTAACAAACAAAGATTCTTTGCTATTGGAAAAATATATATATATATATTTTCTAAATAAAATTGTTTTATGAGTGATTATGTGTGAATTTTTGAGTGAATGAATTCGAGTAAATGCATATGTGTGAATAAATGCTGTGTGTAATGATTGCATTTATTTACATTTTTTTAAAATGTTGTGGATATATTCGTAAATCCTGTGTCAGATTTTAGGTATTAATGATTACAATAAGCATACAAAATTTCATGACAATCCGTTAAAATGTTTCTGAGATAATTTGTACACAAATATTTTGTGACACACATACACACATACATCCGGACATTTGCTCAGAACTTAATATATATTAATTCTAGATGAAAATGATTCCATATAACCCAATTTAAAAAAATCGAAAATCGTCACGAATGCAAAGCTTCCTTATGAGGAAGCAAAATATATAACCTATTCTAATATATATATATATTTATTTTTAAATGAGTAATCGTAATATTTTACGATTCTTTTCTTTTATAAAGAAAATTTTTTTAATTAGTTCGTAGTCAGCACATTTTGTTTCCATATACTTTTACGTGCGTCGTTGTTTCGTCAGTTCATATTTGTCGTGTTGATTGTCAGTTTGTTTTTATATTGAGAAAGAATAAAATTTTATAAAATAAAAAAATGTAATCTTTTGGTGATATCCGGAAATTGCGTGAAGCTTTCGCTTTGATGACTGTTGGAATGGTGGATATACCAACCTTCTTGGAGGCAAAAAAAGAACAACTTATGAAGACGCAAGTCGATAATTTGTTATCTGGGAGAAAAGGGTAAGTACTATTATCAATTGAGCCGCCGGAAAGTAAAAGGGCGCATAAAATTTGTACGGCCGTTCGAGTTGGCCCCTGACGCTTGAAAAATCGATTTAAAAAAAAAAATTTTTTTATTACTACATTACTGGAAATTTTATGCCGCATCTTTTTTCTTCTATGAAAAAAATCTCTATCTTTTTCGGTTTTCGAGTAAATCGAAAAAAACTGGATTTTTAAAAAACACAAATTTAATTAAATTTTTCACTTCAACTCGCTCTAAAAAACAAAGTTATAAATATTTTTTGACAAAATTTACAGGAATTATAGTTTAAACTATTCTTAAGACGACAAACTTTGTATGAATGTGATTTTTTTTATTTCGAAAACAGTTATGAATTTTTTTGTTTCACAGTGACAAATTTACGTTTCCAAATTTTCAAGGGCTTCGTTTATCTGAAAAATTTTCAGTCAGTGAAAACTTATCCCGAAAAAAATGTTCACTAGGGTCTTACAAACATTTTTGTAAAATATTTTTGCAATTGGAATAGCCGTTTACGAAATATTATTGAAAAACTATTTTTCGTCAAACGCGCGCGAGTCAAAAACTTCCCGTTTGTGTCTTAAGAATAGTTTAAACTATAATTCCTGTAAATTTTGTCAAAAAATATTTATTACTTTGTTTTTTAGAGCGAGTTGAAGTGAAAAATTTAATTAAACTTGTGTCTTCTAAAAATCCAATTTTTTTCGATTTACTCGAAAACCGAAAAAGATTTTTTTCATAGAAGAAAAAAGATGCGGAATAAAATTTCCAGTAATGTAGTAATAAAAAAAAATTTTTTTTTTAAATCGATTTTTCAAGCGTCAGGGGCCAACTCGAACGGCCGTACAAATTTTATGCGCCCTTTTACTTTCCGGCGGCTCAATTGACTATATCTATATATATACATTTTTTTTTTAATAATTGAGTTTTCATATAATATGAGTGCTAGAAATTTTGTAATGCGGTGAAAAATTCTAAAAAATATTCTTTAAATGTATATATATGTATAATGTTATTATTTTTTTTTTTAAAGGAGCTTATTGAAAATGTCCCCATGGTTTGTTGCTCCTGTTCGGGAGTTTGTTGGTCACTGTTGGCCTTTGGATTCTGAGGCCATGGTTCAGTGTCCTCAACCTGCCTATGACTTTAAGTGGAACAAGGAGTATAAGTGGAATTGGGATCACGCCCAGTTTATTACTCGTTCTTTCTGGGCGAGTGACAACTATTCTGACCCTACTCGGTGTGTGGTTTTCCCTGACGAGCCGGTTGAAACTCCCATAGGCTGTCTGAACGTTAACTCCGAAGTTTTGTGAGTATTTTTTTTATGTTATTATTATTATATATTTTTTTTTATATCTTGTCTTAATAAAAATTCCTCTTTTTTTATTTTTTTTTAGATCTAGCGGTGACATGCTTCCTATTCCTGGGGAAAAAAGATACCGTGTTTTAGATGACGGATTGCAAGTAGTGTTTGTCCAGCGGTTTTCATTGGAGTGGGACGAATACGTTTGCCATGATCCGTTTTGGGAAATGGTAAAAAAAAATTTTCCTTTTTTTTCTTTTTTTTTAAATAACATTTTTTTTACTTTTCTTTTAATAAAAAAAATGAAAGTTGATTATTTTTGAATTGTTTGTTAATGATTTTGTCAGAATTTATTTAAACAAACAAAAAAAATGTAAGAGAGAGAAGAAAAGAAATTAATTCATTTGTCGTTCTTTTTTTTTAGCGATGGAATATTCCTTTAGACGAGGTGTGGACTGATTGCTGATTGTGCTTTTTTTTATATGTATTTATAAATACCATTTACTTATTATTTTATTTATTTCTTCTTTCTTTTATTATTCTTCTTTTCACATCAACATTTGCTTTTTTTCTATTAATTTTAGAAATTTGTATATTTTACCAATTTTTGATTTTATAATAAATAATTTATACTCGTAGCACGTCTTCCTTTTCTTTTCTGTTATTCCCTTTTAGTTTGTTTTATGGGTTACACACATTGTATATTAAAGTTTAACTTAAATTGAAGGGGGGGGAAAGAAAAAAAAATCTAATTTATATATATAAACTAAATGTGATGCTCTTTTTATATAAAAAAAATGAGGAACACCTGTATATTATTTTTTTTTTTTAATAATTGAGTTTTTTTTTTTACCCAACAATGACCTAAAGTTGTGACAATAATATAATAATATATATAAGCGGCGAAATAAATTTTAAATAAAGTAAATTATTAGTTCTTACGCGTATTTTTATTTCAAAAAAATTGATAGTTTGACAATATTCTAAATAACATTAACTACCCTATTATTCATTTTATCATTATATTTTTATTATTTAAATTTTCGATATAGGTGTTAGTTTTGTAATATTTGTGGTCGTCATTGAGGTTCGCGTTTTACATATGAGTGTCCACATCTTACGGTTTCGCCGTGTACTGTTTTCCCCTCGTGTTTCGTCCCGCGCTCCCGTTTGACATTCAGTCATTAGTTTTATTACCGCGCGCGTGTTACTTTTCGATTGTGCTTGTGTTTTAATTGTTTTTTTTAATATTGTTATTGTTTATCCTTTTCTTATTTTAAAATTTTTTGGTGTGGTATTTTGTGTATAATTTTTTTTATGTGCGTGTCTGTGTTTTTTTTTATATTGTGTTTTTGTTTATTTATTGAAGGATATGAAGAAAAAAAATCTTGGATTCTTTTTGGTATGTTATATATTTTTAAATATTTTTCCTTCCCTTTTGTTCTATCTAGGTATTTAATCCTTTTTTTTTATTTACTTATTATTTTTTTTTATTAAATCTTCAAATTGGAAAAAAAAATTTTTCTTTCTGTTCTGCCTAGCGAGTGCGCGTGTCATATTGCACGTGTTTTCGCTGAGTCAATGTTTTGACTTGTCGTCTTTTAATCTTTTATTTACCTGTATTAATATTTTAATATTTTTCGTATTACTTTTTTTTATGTATTGTTTGATTTGGAAAGAATTTAATAGCCCTTTTTTTATTGTATTGTAATTATGATGGCAAATAATTTTGTTTTTTAAAACAATATTCTTATTAAAATTATAGTGGTTTTCTTTTTTTTTCATTAAAAAAAATTTTAATTTACTGTAACCCTCCTTTGTTTTTTTTTTTTTATATTATAATTTTTTTTTATATTACCCCAAATTGTATTTTGACTATTAATTGTAAGAGTATGTTGTATTTATTTTCCTTTAATAATTATGCTTTTGTTATTTAATTTAATCCCCTTTTTTTTAATATTTTAAGTATATATATTTTTTTAAATTGTTCACTTTTGTTGTGGGCTTTGGTAAGTTTTTTTTTGTAAAATTTCGTTTGTTTTATACATATATTTTTTTTTTTAGGAATAGCGTTGGGATTTTTCTTTTAACTTTCTGGAAAAAAAAATTCTTCCCTTTTCCTTTTTTTTAGGTGAGTTTTCTTTTCATGTTCTTTTTATTGTTTTATTTCTTTAATACTTTTTCTAAATAAAACCCTTTTTGTAGGTAACATTTTTGCAGTATTTGGCGATTGGTTTGTTCTCATGTTCTTGTCATTAAAGGTAAGTTATCTTTTCGTGTTATTTTTATTGTTTTATTTATTTAGTAATTTTTTCTAAATAAAGCCCTTTTTGTACATAAACTTTTGCAGTTTTTGGTGATTGGTTTGTTCTCATATTAATGTCATTAAAGGTAAGTTATCTTTTCATGTTATTTTTATTGTTTTATTTATTTAGTAATTTTTTCTAAATAAAGCCCTTTTTGCAGGTAAACATTTGCAGTATTTGGCCGTTGACTTGTTCTTGTTTTCGTATCATTGAAGGTGAGTTATCTTTTCATGTTGTTTTTATTCTTTTACTTCTTTAGTAATTTTTTTCTAAATAATGCCCTTTTTGTAGGTGGACCATATAGGATTTAATGGGCCAAATGTATCTTGGGTGCCAACTTTTTTTACTTTTCATCGTGACTGCTGAGATTGAGGATCAAATTTTCTATACGGCTTACCTATTTTTAGACCGTTGTACCTATTAGGGGTACTTCCGTCTTCGCTGATTTTTTTTAGGCTGCTAATCGATACCATCTACTTATGTATTCATGATACAGTATTGTTGTACGTGTATATTTAAGTACATGTGTTTTTCGATTAGTTTAACTTATGGGATATTTAAATATATATTTTCTCTTTTTTTTTTTAAATTTTAGTTTCGCGTTATTTTGAATTTTTCTTCTTCCCTATTTTTTTTTTTTAATGTATATCTATATCTTGTTTTATTACTCCTCTCGATTTATTCTTTGTGTAGGTAATTTTTGTTTCCTTTGAGGGATTTTCAAGGCTCGAATTTCTTTCCGTTTCGTTGTTTGTAGCGTTTATGTTCTGGACGGTACTTATTAGAGAAGGTATTTCATAATTTTCTTCCATGATTTTTGTTGATTTCTTCTTTCTTTTGGGCGTTTTGTTGTTGTTATGAATGAGTTTTTTTTTTATACAAATTATTATTTCACTTATTACTATGATTATACTTAGTGTAATGCACATTGCTAATGTATAATTTGAATAATGATTGTGTTCTAATTGTCCTAGTGTGTGCAGGCTTTGTGTTTTCAATTCTTTTTCCAGTTCTTTTAGTGTTTCATCTGTTTCCATTTTTCTCCAATACGGGTGTAGTTTATCGTTTTCGTCGTTGATTTTTTGTAAATTTAATTTCTTTGTTATGGGTGATATGTATTCTAGTTTCAGTTCTAATTTTGGTTTATATGTATATTGGTGCGGATTTTCTTTTATTGCTAAAATTGACAACTGTACTGCGTCAATTGTTAGTGTACATTTTGTACTTATGTGAATTATTCCTATTCCTCTTATTTGGTAGGTTTCAGGTTCCTTGTCTTTACATTTCAGATATAGTGTTTCATTCTTCACTAGAGAATAAAGCCAACTTCCAGTAGTTGTTAGTGGTTCCCATAGTGGTTGTTGGTCCTTAGTTATTCGTACGTCGCAATTTCTTAGGGTTTCGTTTGTGGGGTTTCTTCTTAATTCTGGTTCACAGCTAGGTGTTAAAAGTATATCATATGCCCCGTATTTGTGGTGACAAATATATTGTTCATTAGTTAGATAGCAATTGGATAATTGTTCTTCTGTCAAATAAAAATAAAATCTTTCGTTGGCTGTTATAGCTAAATATCTGGAATGCGGTAGTATGTATGCTCAATTGCTATTATTTTTTTTGTCCTGTTTGACTGGTAGTTCATGCATCCTGTAGAGTATATAAACTTTTTCTTCCACTAAAGGTATGTCTAACAATAGAATTAAATTATTTGTGTCTATTTGTAATTTTATTTCCGCTATTTTACTGATTGTTGTTGTACTTATTTCGTCTATAGGCATGGGAAATTCTTGGTCCTTTAAATATTTTTTTGCTTCCGTTGCTATTGTTATCAATTGTTCGTCTGATAACAATTCTGAAGAAAGATGTCCTTCTTTTGCTTCTTTTAAGATTTCTAAAGTATGATCTAAATTGTGCTCATAAGTATCTATTTGTCTAGTCAATCGTATTATATGTTCTCTTAAATTTCCTGTGTATTCTATTCGACTAGTTTGATTTTTTAAATCTAGTATTTCTCTTTCAGTTTTTATTAATTCCTTTCTTGACTGTTGCGATGAGTTATGTTGTTCTTCTGCCATATCGTAGAGCGTATGCAATTCTGCTCTTACTACATGTGTCTGTTCTCCTACCAAATGTGAAATATTCCTTTGAGCCTCATTTAGATCCCTTATTATTTCTTTATAATTTTCCCCTTCGTCATAAGTAAGTAAACCTATAGTTGGTCCGATTATTTTTCCTAATACACTTATTAATGGTGCATTTCTTTTACTTATTTTTCTGTTTTTTTTATTCCTTTTTTCTATTCTTTTGTGTCTTCTTAAATCTCCGATGATTTTCTCCAGGTTTTTCCATTTTAACTTTATTATTGCTACCCTACTTTTTATTGTTTCATGTGATACGAATTGTTCGCAATTATACCCTAAAATCTGTTTACACGCCTTTTCTGTAGCATTTAAACCCTCGTCTAACTCCTTGAAGTGTAACTTAAAATTTTCCATATTTAGTATCACTGCTGTTCTCCAGGAACCTGCTACTCTACGTATTGCGGGCATTCTTTCAAAGTATATGCCTATACCTTTATTCATTGTTATTATGCTAATGTCTTCATTGTCGATTTCTGCATAAGTTATTTCGATTATCCATACGGTTAGTATTAGTATTCCTATTGCGTAGTTCATTTTTCTCTAAACATAAATTATAACGTGTTTCTTAGTTAATACTATTTTAATAATTCTTTCGTGTATTATTCTATTGCTAATTTAGCTAATTTATCTGCCTCCTCATTTCCGGTTATTCCACTATGACCCGGTTCATATATTAATTCTACTGTTATTCCTTTTATCATTTTTTTCATTTCTTTGAAATCATTTTTATTAAGAACATCCCGTTTACGACTAGTTTTCCAACCATTTTTTTCCCATTTTGGTACCCAATTTGTTAGTCTTTCTATCGCAAACTTAGAGTCTGTATGTACTCTAATTTTTTTATAACCTAGCAATTTTATTATTTCGATAGCTCTCATAATGGCTTCGATTTCTGCGCTGTTATTAGTTTGTTTTTTACTTGCTCTTTCGCTAACGTTTAGAGAGTGCTTATGGTTAAACCATATACCTATGCCAGCTTTAGCGAGTGGTTTGCCATTTGCTTTGCAGGCACCGTCGGTATAAACATTAATAAAATCTTCTTCATCTTTTATGAATTCTTTAGTATTATTTTGTCATAAAAAAGCTCTTTTTACTTGATCCTTATGTTTGCGAAATCTTTTTTTTTCGGCATCGCTTAGAATCAAGTTGTTTTTTTCTGTTATTTCTTCTACTCTGTATGGTCCGTGGTAATATGGAGAGAATTTTCCCGCTCTGACTTCCTCTTTCACATCTACGAAATCTCCTACTTTTATGTTTAGGGGTGTCGTTTTATTATCGTAACTTTCTTTTACCTTTTCTTTTCTCTGTATGATGTTTTTGGCTACTATTCTTCTAATTTCAATCAATCTTGTTACTAACTCTCTTATGTATGATTCATAAGATTCTAATTTTTCTGGTGTTGGAAAGATTGATGGTGTTCTCGCTATTTTTCCGAATATTACTTCGTATGGTGTAAACTTAGTAGCTTCGTGTACAGACGTATTATACGCAAACATTGCATAAGGGAGGAGTCTGTCCCAGTCATCTTTTGTTTTAGCATAGTGTCTTAGGAATTCTGCTAACACTGCATGACTGCGCTCTAATCCTCCATTTGTTTGGGGCCTGTAGGCTGTTGTTGTGACTTGTGATAACTTGAATATTTTTGCCAATTTTCTTACGAGGTTACTTGTAAATGACCTGCCTTGATCAGTGAGTATACATTTTGGTGCTCCGTATACTGAGAATAAATTAGTGGCTATTGCATGTGCTATTGTAGTAGCGCTAATATCAGGTATTGCTACGAAAATACTATATTTGCTGAGCTGATCTTGCATTGTTAAAAGGTGAAAGTTGCCATTCGCTGTAGTTGGTAATTTTCCAACAGTGTCAAGAGATACTCTTTCCCATGCATCTAGAGGTGTATCTGTTATTATCATGTTTTCTCTATTTTGATTTCTTACTATTTTCTTTTGTGCACAGCTTCTACATTTTCTTATATACTCTGTTATATCTTGTCTTAATCCTGGCCACGTATATTTTTCTCTAATCCTGTGATAAGTTTTATTTACTCCTTTGTGGCCCGCCATTAGACTATCATGATATGCAGCAATTATTTTCGTCCTGTATTCCTCTGGAGGTATCACTATCTCTCCAAAGCACACTTGGATTTGTATATCATCTCTAAATAAAATTTCTACTATTTTATTGATCCATGTTGGTTCGAACTCATCTAGTGTTACTGTGTGTCGTGGAATTCGAATTGATTTGACGTTTTCTCTCAATAATACTTTTCTGAGATTCAATAGTACTTCTCTTAAATCTTCCTCGTTTATTACTTCATCATATTCTGTTTTTATTATTACTGTAAAAGTCTTGTATTTACTTCTAGGTGTGACTAAAATTTGTCCTTTTTTTGGTTTTTTGCTTTTCATTTCCTTTATGTCTATTGCTCCTATGGCCGAGATTAATTTATTCACAGGATCATTGAGTTCTAGATCTGCCGACATGAAGTGTACGTAATTTCCCCATGTTTCTGTTAGAGATTCCCTTCTATATTCCAATTTTTCTAACCTGTCTAAATTGGGTTTAATTATTTTATCCTCATATCTTTTTACTACTAGTTGTTGGACGTCTATGTATGGCATTGTAATGCCTAGGCCTAACCCTCTAGTAGATTTAATTTCACTTTCTTCGTTTTGTGAAATTTTTGTTTGCTCGATTAACTTTCTTGGTTTAATTCGTGTTTTTAATCTTTCTGGGTATAATTCCGCCTCTTCTACTTCTTCCGTTATTACGTTATGAATGTACGGGGTGGATCTAGCATTAGGTTGTTGTTGATGAAGCGGGGTATCAAAGGTTACCGACTTCTTAATTCTTTCAGTAAATTTTTGTGGTTCTTCCTTCCGACCTTTTTCTTCTTCCTGAATTGTTGTTTTTTCTAAATCTTTATTTAACTCTCGTAACTCTGCAATTATTTCATCTATTGTCCTAACTTGTTCTTGTGGTTCTTCTTCGATTTCTGCTTCCTCTGGTCTTTCTGTTATTTCATCATCCCAAAAATACGACTGGTGCTCTGCAATACTCATATCGTACCGCTTTATAGATTCCCTTATTTCTTCTAACATTTCTTTTTCTATTACTTTATTGTCTTCTCTTGTTGCTATGGGCCGCTCGTCGCTATCTTCCACTACCGTTTTCTTTTTGAAACTACCTATAGCTCTTCCTCGTTTTCCTTGCTCTCTAGCATTGCTTGTTTTTTTAAGTTCTACTGTTGAATCTGATTTAGCCCTTTCCCTCAGTTTTTTAGTTTGCTTACTCAATATGTTTTTGTCCTTGTTTGAGCCAGCTGCGCTACTTATAGGGAAAGCTCTTTTTCCTGCTTCTAA